TATTATAAATATGAATATTTTTAAAATAATTTTTATAAAAGATATATAATAAATAAAATATTGCAAAAGTTTATAAATTTAAAAATAATTTTACAAGATTATATTTGAAATTTTCATATATATTTATTGGATAAATCTAATTGAAACACCCTGTTCCAGGAACAATCTCAGAAAATAGTATCATAAATTTTTAAATTTTTATTTTATTAGTCATTAAAAAATGTAATCATAATTTTTATTGGGTATTTATTTATATTTTTTATTCAATTATTGTTAATAAGTTAGGGGTTAGATTTATACATGATTTAATAAACCTAGTGATTTTGGCACGTCGCACTATTATGTCCTGGTTGATTGCATATGCCACATGCATATGCGCGTGATTTTACTTTTTTTTCAGTCGCGGATTTATAACGTTTAGTTTCTGGACGTCCTTTTCGTCGTGATACTAATGGATTTTTGATTGGTCCAAGTTCATTTTCCTTGTTTGAATCGTCTTGAATTTTGGTAGATTCTTGAAAATCCCGATTCTGTACTAACCCAGCTGTTATTTCTTTATATTGGATAGATTCTTGAAGATTTTGATTTTGTACTGACCCAGCTGTTATTTCTTTATATTAGATAGATTCTTGAAGATTTTGATTTTGTACTGATCCAGCTACTATTTCTTTGTGTCATCCAATAAATTCTTTCAACTATGTAATTATCTCACTGTGATTGTTATGCTCAACAGCAAGTTGAGCTGCATGTCGTGCCAATCTCCACACTTCTCCATATTTGAGTTTTCGTTGTGCTGCATGACGTAAAACATGTGTCACAGACTTGAATATGGTCGAGGGATTCGGAATTAGTATCTCATTTGAATAGTTCTTCGCAGATTTTTTATTTATGAAGCAGCATGCTTCAGTAACTACATTGTTGTCCTTTTGGGCATCAGTATACCATCGCAAGGGAATCATTTGAATATGAAATTCCGTAATTTTTGAATACATCATCACTCAGAAATAATAGCGACAAATGATGTCACAAGATATATTTGACATGCAAGAACAAAGATATAAAATAGAATCAACCACCACCACGAAATGTGAGTATTTGCTGTTTTGAGGTCGTATATTCGTAATTTTTTACACTTCCTGAAAATTTTTTTCACCAACTTCAGCGATCATTGATTTTAACAAAATTTGTTTAGCATCGTACAAATTTTCAACAAATTCATCTGCCACATCAAGACTACTAAAATTCTAAAACAAAAATGTTAGATACGCAAATAATTTTAAATATTACATCAGATTTCATTTACCTCATTATTATTTGTGAGATTTATTTGACCCACAACAAAATATAGGCATTGTGCCATTTCTGACTGTTCCACAGACAATATGTGGGGAGTAAGGTATTTAGCTATTTGCTTATCGATTTCTGGAAAAAGGTCATGACCAACTGATATAATTTTCATACACGACGACATGGTGTGATACTCAAAGAAATGATTCTATTGTACCTCGTTTTGAAGTCTTGCATCCAGTACATCAGCAAGATTACATAAACTACTACTTGCTATTAATGTACGTTTAATAATAACATTAAGGCCTTCAACATGAGAAGTAGTTTGAACTCCCGCTGTGAATATTTTTGATGTGAATGCACGGGTCCATGCATGTCAGCTAGGATAGAGTACCCTCATCAGGTAATCTTTGGCGTTGGGGTATTTTTCAGTAAGCTGTGACCTTGTAATCAAAAAAAAACTTTTAAACAATTTCATCTAACCGCAGAACAAAAAGAAAGAAATCTGAAAAACAAAGAAAGAAATCTGCGAAACAAAAAAGAAGAAATCTGCGAAACAAAAAGAAATCCGCAGAACAAAAAGAAAGAAATCTGCGAAACAGAAAGAAATTGCAAGAAGTGAATTAGCAAACTAATTAAACAGAAATCAAAAATACCATCGTTCATAAAAACCTTTTTCGCACAGGTTGTTGTGGCATAGGAAAAAATTGTGAACAAAGTTATCATATTGATTATGAAGCTTAGATTTGAGGTTTTTGGGTAAGTTTTCGCTGATGTGAAAGATGTAGTGAACTTGATAGGTGGTTTCATAAGTTTGTTTGATCGCAGCATCTACTGCAGGATCTGCATCCATAACAAAGACTAACGGTTCGGTCATTGTTGCTTTTTTTGTACATTCTAAGATCCAGTTATAGGATTCAGTTGTTTCATCAGACACAAGAGCTTGTGCAACAAGATGCGATCTAGTGTTGTTGTCCACTGTAAGAAAAAAGGAAAGTGACATTTGATAACGGTTGGTTTTAGCAGTATTGTCATTTAAAATAACATCATAATACTCTAATCAAAGAACAATCTACGCATGTAACATCTAAAACAAACGGACAAGTCGATTTTCATTATCTAGCTCAAACTCTACAGCCCATCCATGATCGTGAGATTTTTGTTCAATAAGTGTTGTTAGTAGACGAGATGCATCCAGGTTTTTATCAGTATAAATTTTGAATTTTTGTATGGTATTTGAAAGATCACGATCTAGAATGAATTCAGTTGAAAATCTTGTCTTCAATAATTTTCTTTGAGTGCCAATTATTAAGTTTCCATGTTCAGTGAGAAATTGAATTTCATTGAGAACATCTTCAGAGATATTCTGATATATTGATGCATAATGTTGAGCATCAAGGTATAGTGGGTAGTTATATACATCATCTAGAGTCGTAAGTGTTATATGTGAAACGTTTTTCAGACAATTGATATTAACGTGTCATCTACACTCTTGGCATTTAGATTTACAGTTGCAGTGGTCACGAGCATTGACTTTTTTTTTAGGTTGAGAATGGCCACTAAATTCGCATCTATAACTACGATGCTTTATATTACTATTCGGATGTCGCTCTAGCCTTTTTCGAGCAACTCCAAAACCTTGCTGTTTGCCGTAGGCCTTCACAAACTTATCGACTTCTTCCCATAACGAAAAAACATGACCTTCATAAAGATTTACAACTTCGTTTATATCTGGATAAAAATAAGATAAGTGAGAAACCTGACACTAATGTAACTAAAATTACAGCTAATAATCTTACCTTCATTTATAGGAAGTGCTTGGTTACTTGATTCGGCTATGTCTTCAGCTATGTTTTCTTCATTAACCACAGTATTGATAGATTTAGTGAGAGGAATATTATCTTGAATAGATTGAGTAGTTAAGTTTCACGTAGTATATTACATTTGATACCTAAAACTTATAACTCATACCCTGTACACAAAGTTCCGTGTTCATTTTAAACTATATACGAGTATGAGTTTTCTTTAAATAAACTCATCACGCAAAAAGTAAAACAAGTAAATAAGTAAAACAAGTAAAACAGGATATTATGAAACAGTTTGATTCGTCATTGGTCAGATCAATTTTATGTAACATGTGATGTGGTCAAGTTATATGTCACATGATTTTTCTGAGATTGTTCCTGGAACAGGGTGTTCCATTTAGATTATTCCATATTTATTAATAAAATATTCATTATTTTTATCAAAACGAGGTATAATATGTACAATATAATCAATAGTTTCGATTGAAATTAGATTATATAAATCTACTAATTTTAATAGAAGACAATAATAAAGATAAGGATTGTTTTGAAATTTGAAATCGTACCATTGAACTAACGCAAGATTCAATGAAGACTTTTTTTCAATTTCTATTTTTACCATTAATAAAATTTTACCGTAATATAATCCTTCATCAGATTGATAGTTAAAAGATTTATTGGAGTCCATCGAAATTACTACATTACTGAACTATGGTTTATTATGATATTTGTTAATCGCCCTTATTATTGATCTATTTTTTAAGGTCACCTTACCATATACAATAATATTGCATTCCTCAATATCATCAACTTTCAAAATATCTTCTAAAAAAGAATCAAAACATTCCAAAAACCTCTCAAAGCCTTTAATCATATTGTCATTAATATTTGAATCGTTCGCTTT